GAGATTAGCAATCACTGCGTAAAGGTGTCACCATGCCTAAAGCAAGCAAACTTACCAAAGTTGAGCGTGCTCGAGTTCTAGATTTCCATTATCAAGGTTTGTCACTGCGGGCGATCGCAGCTAAGGTAAATCGCAGTAAAACTGTGATTTGTAACTTTCTAAAGGACAGTGCGAATTATGGAAACACAAAGTCTACTAGTAGGCTCCCCAAAATTTCTCCGGTATTGAGTAGGAGAATAAGACGGGTTGTTGTGAAAACCAGTTGAATTTCTTTAGTCAAATTAAGGCAACCACAAATGCTGATTGCAGTCCAGTAACCATCAGACGACACTTACGACAAAAAGGCATGGTAAATAAAAAGCGCAAACAAATTCCTCGGCTGTTTCCACGTCACAAAGTGAACCGTTTAAGGTTTGGTCGTGAATACCAAACATGGGACATTGAGAAGTGGAAGAAATTCCTGTTTTCTGATGAGAAAAAATTCAATCTAGATGGTCCTGATGGCTTCCAACGATATTGGCATAACAAAACCATGCCCCCTGAAATTTTCTCCACACGTCATAGTGGGTGAGGGCCCCTAATGGTATGGGGTGCCTTTTCTTCCAGAGATAATGCTGCAATCCACGCTGCATGCCAGACCTTGACCTTTCTACAAGAAAATGGGGTCTATCTCTTGAAACATCCTGCATGCTCACCGGACTTGAACCCAATTGAGAACGTTTGGGGATGGATGGCAAGAGATGTTTATCAAAATAGCAAACAATATTCAACAAAAAATGAACTTTGTGAAGCTATCTTCAGAAGCTGGAGCAATATTCCTCGCAGCTTAATGGAAACATTAATTTCTAGCATGCTCCAAAGAATTTTTGAAGTCATCAAAACCAGTGGAGGTAGAACTCATTATTAAATTTGGTTGTTGAATGTCTTTGTACACTTTTCGTACAATTTCGTAGAATTTTTGTCTCTGGTCTTATAATTTTGATCAAATGTAAAACGCCTCATTTTATAAAAAAGTCAATTTCTCAATAAAATGTTCGGATTATAACTTTTTGTCTACGTAACCTTTTAGATTATAAAATTAGTAACCTTAAGTAAGAAATATTTAAAGTTTTCCATTAAAATTTTTCAAGTGGTCTTAAATTTTTGATCAGAGGATGTATATATATATATATATATATATATATATATATATATATATATATATATATATATATATATATATATATATATATATATATATATATATATATATATATATATATATATATATATATGGTTATCACACTGATCTCCTACATTGTTAGTGCTAGTGGATAGTGATTTTGTCTCACACAAGATTCCCTATACTTTTGTGCTCAAAGTAAGCAATGTTGACTCTATAAATAACTTGATTCATTTATTTCCATGTTTAAAAATAATAATAGTAATAATAATACGAATCACTAAAACCAATTAAAGTAGATAAAAGTATAAGAAATTAACGTATTTAACGCGAGCAGAATTTTTCTCAATTAACATTTTGAGAACTAGAGCGACAAATGAATTCATAAGGTTCAATTTACTCATCTTTTAATAGAGTTCAAATCTTCGGAAGGATATCGCTCATCAGGATTAGAGGCTAACACACACACATGCACATGCGCACACGCGCACACTCACACACATTCATATAGACATGGTTTTAAGTACGCTATATTTATGGTTCGGAGGACACATTATAAAGTATAGGATTAGTGCAGACGGAATAAAATTCCTATAACCAAAAACACTAATCTTAAAAAAATACAGAGCAGAGAAAATAGTATTTATTCAAAAATTATAACATAAATATGTTATAACATCACTACAAATATTAGTAGTGATTTTATAACATATTTGTTATAATTTTGAATAAATACTATAAATATATATATATATATATATATAGATAGATTCCCAAGACGATAGAATCCAGGTAGAACTCAATGTCCAGGACAGAGTAAGAATATAATATAAAAGGCTCAAACACTAATATTCCATGGTTATAATTTCTTACATTGGAATCGTAATCGTGATTACGATTCTAATGTAATAAATTATAACTATGGAATCTTAGTGTTTGAGACTTTTAAATCATATATATATATATATATATATATATATATATATATATTAAAAATGAATGAATATATATGAAAAAGAAAAAAATCCTATACATGCTATATACTGTGACTAATTTTGCTAAGCATATGTTATGAGAAACTTTATTTTAGTTCTTTTCTCTTCGTTCTTTTATTTTTCTTTCCCTCTTTTTTTATGTCATATCTTTCTTATTTCTGTCTGAATTTCTGTCTCTTGGTCTCTTTGCCTGCTTCTCTCTCCGTCTCTCTCTGTCTCTGTCTCTGTCTCTCTCTCTCTCTCTATCTCTCTCTATATATATATATATATATATATATATATATACCCATATGTTTTCCTCTGTGTATGTGTGTGTGTTCGTGTGTGTGTGTGTGAAAGAACATGTAATACAAGCGATTAGAGAGCAAGTGAAATGCACACAATGTATAAATCCACAGACTGACATCAGCCAAAACTAAACATTGCTGCGGCATTTCCGAGAAATAATTCATTAGAGCAGACTTTTCACCGATTTTTTTTTTTTTTTAATATTAATTTTTCTTCTTTTTTTTTAATTCTATTTCTGAAATTGTATATTTTAATAATTAAAGTCTGGTAAAAAAAAAATCAAATAAAACACTGACAATAAAATAAAGAAAACGAGATAGAAAGAAAAGTAAAAAAAAATGAGAAAAGGACACGAGAAAATGGGAACGAGGTTTCGGAGCGACGTAGAAATAAAATAATGACTTCATACACTGACAAGTAAAGATAGATGGGAACGCTCTCTTGTAACAGGTCAGCACGTTCATCAGTTAAATTGATTCATGTAAATATATGAATGGGGAGATTGAGGAGAGAGAGGATATGTGTGCTTGTGTACGTATATATTTCTGTGTTCATATATATATATATATATATATATATATATAGTTCATGTATTGTGGTAAGTTACGATTTAGATCTGGAGTCCCTGAGCGCTGTTTACTATGTATTAGTATTACTGCGCTGTCTTATTTTGATTTATAGGCATTGAGCACTTTGGGTTTTTGTGTGGGTAAGCTTTTGTCTTTATTTTCTCTTATTATTTTTTTCGCGGATTTTCTTTTTTCTTTTCTTTTGATAGGCTTAATATTGGTAGAATTGTTCTTTGACAATAAAACAGAAAAGTATATATCAACAGATTGCCTAAAATTACAATAATTAAATTGGGTCTATAGATCTTATTAAGTGCATGAAGGTTTTCAGTTCCACCCACTTCCCAAAATGACTATTTTAATGCCCATTTTAAGAAAACTGATTTTTGAAAGTGTTTCAAGCTGACAACGTTTCGTATATGTTTATATTATATAGATACTAATGAATTTACTGCGAAAAAGAAAGAAAGAAAGAAAAAACAAAGAAAGAAATAAAAGAAAGGAAAACAGAAAAAAAGAAATAAACAAACAAAGGAGTAATGAAAGACTTAAATAACATTTGATGTAGTGTATTTCTGTGTTGAACAATAATCATACAACATCATTTTAACAAAACGTTTGCAATAAACGTCTATTGAGCATGATCTAAAACTACATCCGATAATGTAGACTTGACTAGGGGACTGGATTAGGATACCCTTAGCAATTATTATCTACAGGTGATCTCTAACTAAAATCTAGTACCTGTTTGCTCCCTCACTAGGGTTACGGTTTTCCCCCACCCAGCAGACAAATCGGGGAGTGTTTCTTTTAATGTGTGTATGTTGAATTCTTTTGTCGCAGTGGGTGAGGAGCGTCCCATTATAAAAAGGGTGATAGCTGATGACCGATGCATATCATCTGGGTCACTGTGGAAAATGGGTATAATGTTGTAAAACCTGAAACCCTTACAGTATTTACATTAGTCGGACTATTGTCCTTATCTTTGTCGCCATATTTATCACAACGTTTCGGCCGTTGTACGCTCCGGCCTTCTTCAGGTGGTTGGAATGTAGAACTGAACCCTTTATTTCGATCACTGGGGTAGACTGTTCTAGTTCCCCGTGCCATGTCTGATGGATGTCAGTTATCAGTTATCTCCTGCTAATTTCCCTCTGAATTTTCAACCACCTGAAGAAGGCCGGAGCGTACAACGGCCGAAACGTTGTGATAAATATGGCGACAAAGATGAGGACAATAGTCCGAATAATGTAAATAACACCTCATCTCAGAAATATAGACAGACTCTGAAACCCTTAATATGCCAATCCAAGTGATGCATTTCACGAAATATTCAAATATTCATTATTTTCTCTCTGAGTTTTCCTTTACCAGAAACCGGTGAGTCTCTTCATTACTTTTTTTTTTCACCGAGACATGTTTTTCGCAACAACTCATTCATAACATGGAAGATATGTCTTTTTTAGAGCAAACGTTTTGTTTAATCCGTATTATTATTAAAACTTCTGGCTTACTGCCATATGACGTTGAAACTAGGGTTCTTGAGACACTTCGAGATACAGTCTCGACGTCTGTCGAACTCTCTGCTTTGGCAGAGAGGAATCCGGACGAAGCTTTGTCGAAGGGCAAGGTTTCGTCCGGGGAGGTAGACAGGCCCAGAACCCGTCTTGGCGGGTTCAAAGGGTATATTTTTGGCCGAGCCTACGGGCTCGGAGAAACTCACATTAAACTCGGCGTTGTGCCACATATATTCCTCGTGGGTGGGATATTAAATACCGAAACTAGGGTTCTTGTACGATCACCGAAGTTAAGTCTGGTCAGTTCCTAGATGGATGGCCGCTTGGGAATTCCAGGTGCTTGGATGTGCAGGTGGTGTAATGGACAAAGGCCCGAAATTGGAAAACAAAGAGCTGAGTTTCTAATCTTGTTGGGTTCGATATATTCACTTACGCGCAAATAATTATATGAATCCGCCGCTTCTAGACTTACGGCTATATTATGTTGAAACATCGGTTCCCGTACAATCACAGAAGGTAAGCAACGTCGGGCCTAGTCAGTACCTTGATGTGTAACCGCATGGGAATGTCAGGTCTGATGTAAATGGATCATGACTTGAAATTTTTAATTTGTGAGCGGAGTTCGAATGCCAGTTGGGGTCATTATATTCATTTACGAACAAATACCCTCTGGGAAGGTATGAATCCACTTCTTCTACCCTAAGGGTTTTTTTAAGCATTTCACCACAAGCAAGGTGGGAATGCCACTAGCACTCAAGGGGTTACAGAGAGTGTGAGCAAGAGTAGAGAGGCGAGATAGAGAAAAGGATGAAGAGAAGGACAGAGAATAGATCAAGGCATCTGGAGATGTCGATGAACATTACATTCGAATATTTGGAGATTATAGCTATCAGAGAAGCAATTAAGAGGAAGTGAATTCCACAGGCGAGAAGTGCGAGACATAAAACTATTGGAGTAGAAGAGACAGCTACATTTAACCGTTTCGACAGTTACGAGTTTATTTCGACATCTATGAGTTAATTAGTAAGACTTGTATCAGTAAATTAATATTATCTCCAAAAAATTCTTACAATATAAAAATATTTTCTGGTTTTAAAATAACCTGCAAAAGGTTGATAATCCATAAAAAAACAAATGAATCAATCAGTTTTAAACTTCATTTGGTACGAAGCAAAAGAAAGTTTCTTGACTTTTTAAAATGTCCTCGGAAATACATATTCAGTAGAATTGCTCGTTCACTGCGAGGATCGTTGGCTCCCTGAGCCGCGCTAGGAAGTTTTTCTCCCCTGAGTCGATCCTCCAGATATACAAATCCACAATTCGCCCTTGCATGGAGTATTGCTACCATATATGGTCTGGCGCCCCTTCTGTTTGCCTCAGGGTTCTTGATAGGCTCCAGAAGCGGATATGCAATATGGTTGGCCCTGCCCTGGCGTCTCGTCTACAGTCACTTTCTCACAGTCGCCTCCCTCTGTCTGTTCTACAAATACTTTCATGAAAATTGCTCCGAGGAGCTGCATTCGCTGGTTCATAGACGTCATGAGTTCCAGCGCCCTACGAGGCTGGCATCCCGCTCTCACCCCCTCACTGTCGAAACTCCTAAATGTAGCCGTCTCTTCTACTCTAATAGCTTCATGTCTCGCACCTCTCGCCTGTGGAACTCCCTTCCCTTCTCCTGTTTCCCTGCGAGCTATAATCTCCATCTATCCAAGTGTAATATCAATCGACAACTCCAGTCGCCTTGATCTATCCACTACCCTCATCCTTTCTTCTATCACTCTTATCTGATCTTGCTATTTCCTGTAACCCCTTGCATCCTAGTGGCTTCCCGCCTTGCTTGGGGTGAAACGCTTAAAAAAAAAAAATTGAAAGAAAAATACCGGAAGATATCTTGTCATGTTTCTCAAATCTCACTCACAAATAACGACTTGTTTGTTTCATTAACCAACAAGTAACTAAAAGAACTCCCTACTTGGTGAAGTAACTGCATGTTTCCTACCTATGTCATTGATTGGTGTACAAATCAAGTTACTTTTTACTTTTATAATTATATATTCAAATTTAATATAGTCAATATAAGGCAAGGTTGAGGGTTACAATTAAAATGGTTATAATGAATGAAGCGAGCGGTATGAATAAAAGAGAAAGTGGTAAGAAATAGAGATGATGAGGTTAAGTACAGATATCGATTGACCCTTGACTTGAAGCGGTTAAGATTGTAGTGTTCAGGGATACATCTATGCGGGATTCTATTTCGCAAAATGGCAGCTCTTGGGAAAAATCTGGAACTTTATGCTTACATTTGGAATACAGGGAGTGGAGATGAGGGAGATTTGACTCTGTGGAAGTAGCATGGCGTACACTAGCTGTAAATGTCTGAACAAAAAAAAAAAATAGAGCCCTTCTGAAAATTGACATGGGAATTACGATAGAGATAGTGACATGTTTCTACCATTGCGTCTGAGAAACAGAGACGGTAAAGAGGAGAATAAGTTTTCCCCAAGACTGCCTAAATGATTTTGAACTCTACCTGGGCTTGAGGGTCATGGTTGTGCAGTTCCAGTTCAAATATGACAGCAATACACTATTTTTTTGGTCTGACTCTTGTAAAGATAAAGTTCAGCGAAGGCGAAGTGATTGAATGAGGCGACTATATTTCCAAGATCTTTAGCAATGGCTCGCATATGAGTTCCACTTGAAAAAGTTTACCAATTTTTTTAAAATACTATGTCTTCGCGGGACGTAGGCGATCATGTCTCTGGTTTTTTTTGGGTTTTTTTTTTCATTATTATCTGTGAATTGCAATGGCGTTTCACCGCTCTATCGCTATTAACATGGAAAGTGCTCAGACGAACTACACTCCTTAGTTCCACCCAGTTCTAAAAGTGCTCAGACGAACTACACTCCTTAGTTCCACCCAATTCTAAAAGTGCTCAGACGAACTACACTCCTTAGTTCCACCCAGTTCTAAAAGTGCTCAGACGAACTACACTCCTTAGTTCCACCCAGTTCTAAAAGTGCTCAGACGAACTACACTCCTTAGTTCCACCCAGTTCTAACTTTCCCGGCTAAGACCCGCCATGCCACGCACATTGTAACGAATAAACCTTGGTTCCCTCCAATTCCCATTGGTGTGATGTAAGTTCCGCTCGAGCTTCTTCTTCCCTGCTTTGTGGAACCGACTCCCACTACAATCTTAACCTGTTCAAGTCTAGAGTTAACCGTCATCTTTCCTATATATCAGCATAGACTGTTCCTCTTATTCTGTAACCCTCTACCTTGAGTGGCTCCCGGGCCTTCTAAAATGTCAACATCACCGTAAAAAAAAAGAAAGAAAGAAAGGCTATATTTAATTAGTAAATAACGTTTACCGCATGGTTAATTTTAAGCTTTCTAATTGGGGAAGAATAATCAGAAGAAATTGTCGGAGTTAGCTCCTCCTTAGCTCCTTAACCCTTTCACCAGGGGTCTCTCTCCCCTGTCTATAAATACTCGCTGACCCTTCGCCTCGACCTCTTTTTTCTCAGGCATTCAGCCTTACCACCTCGCAGATGTGGGCGCTCACAGATACAGCGTTTCCTAAATGCTGGGAACACGCCAAAAACAATACACGTACGTACGAACATTCACCACAATACATACACATAATGAACTCCACACACACACCCTGTCCATGTAACTGTCAATGTAACTTGTAACCTTTTCTTTGTTTGTTTTTCCTTGTCTTCTTTGGACTTAATTAAAGTCCAACTTTCTCATGTAGTTGGACCGGCTAGCAGGAAATTTTAACCCACGTGTGTTTTACATACTCATCACCCAACGGTCCGCTACGAATTATTCCTTTTTGTATAGTATTTCTCAGTCTTTCCAAAGCGAAAGATTTTCAAATCCGTTACGTTTCATAAACGTCTTTCTATTTTATTTATTAAATTTTTATCCTAAAAAAAAAAAAAAAAAAAAAAGGCAAGAAAATGTTTAATTCATTTGCGTAAGCAATATTCTCTGTTTGTACACACTAAATGACATTTCCTCCTTTCCCGTGTCCCCGCGGGAGTTGAAGGCGCATAAATTTACGGATGGATGAATTTATGATTGATGAGAAGGCAAGTGGGCATAAATAGTATTTCGTCAGAGAGAAAGGAGCCAGACGGACAGAGAAAAATGCCGAAAGGAACCCTGGGAAATTAAACCATCTAGAAAATTTCCACCGATGATATATTACTAGTTAACGTCTCTTTCGTATATCATATGTTTACGTACACATTTTGTGATACGAATATATATATGAGCGACTATATTGAGTCAATTGCTACGTCTACTGAAAGGGAGATTGGTTCACTATACTGTGCCAAAAGATATCTCTCGTCAGAATCCATCTTGTACATTTATAAATCTACCATACGGGATTTTTATTTTTAATTCTTTGAATACCTGATTTTATAGTGGGCATTAAAGAGTTGAATATAAATATATGGTGCTAAAGCTAATTTCCTGGAGAGCAATACTGTATACTGTATGCTTCCTTGGCCTCACGTTTTCCGTTGACATGAAGTGGAACGACTATATCGAGTCAATTGCTACATCTACTGCAAGGAAGTTTTGTTCACTGTATCATGCCGAAAAATCTTTCTCCATTTTGCACATTTATAAATCTATCATTTTTCCGTCTATTAAATTTCTTCTTTTTGGACGTAGGCCATCATGGCTCTCCACCTCCCTCTATCTCTTGCAGCTCTCAACAAGTTCCTTCTCTTTGCTTCCTCCCCCAAACCAAGTTCTGCAATCCACTTGCTCAAGTCCGCCGGGTAATGTCACACGCTGCTTTCCCTTGTCTCTTTTTCCCTCTACTCGACCCGTGAGTATCAGATTCTCCAGAACCTCCTTTCTCATTATGTGTGCCAGAAACTTCAGCTGCCTCTTTCTGATGTTAATCATAATCCTTTTCCTTGTTTGCAAACTCTCTAAGACCTCATCGTTCTCATATGTTCGGTCCTTGATATCCTTAGCATCCATTTGTAGAACCACATCTTTCGTCGTCTTGAGTGTCTTCTTCATCTTTGAGGAAGTCGTTTAACATTGGCTGCCGTAAAGAAGAACAGATGTTACATAACAGCTCAGTATTCTTTTCTTTGTTACCAAAGAAATCCTCCTGTCTCGCAATACTCTGCCCAGCTTTTGGAATGTGTCCTTGGCCATCCCAATATGTCTACGGATCTCAGTGTCGCACTTACCGTCCTCTGTCAAGAAGCTTCCCAGATATTTAAACTTCTGTGTCTGCTTGATTCTAATGTTCCCGACCTTCAAATCACATTTCGGGCTCATCCTCTTACTGATGACCATGCATTCTGTCTTCTTGTAGTTTATGCTTAGTCCTTTATTCTCACTCTCCGTCGCTACCTTCTGTAGGAGATTTTGTAATTTCTTTTCCGTGTCTGCTATCATTACTGTGTCAACTGCGTATCTTATGTTGTTAAAGTTGTGGCCGCCGATGCTAAATCCCGGTAGGGTTTCCAATTCTCTCAGGATTGCCTCACTGTATAGGTTGAACAGGTCAGGTGAGAAGATGCATCCTTG